CACACACACACACACACACACACACACACACACACACACACACACACTAGAGATACATTTTGTTAATTGTTAAGTGCTTACGCTTCAAGTCATAATTATGTCCGTGGTGGGGGGATTAATATATATAACAAGAATTTTGTACTTTGTGATAGTACAAATAAACTATTTTTAATTTTTAATTGTAAAAATGTATGGTAGTGTTTTACAAGTCTACTTGATCCCAGTCTAACCGGGAGTAGTCCAGGTTCGCCGTTCACGATTACAAGTGTTATCTCTTGTGCCGTCATTAGTGATAGGTCAGGGTTGGAACGATTCTGTAACAATTTAGCCTATTTAGGTATCTCTCTTTAACCGAGATTTAGCTACAGGGCCGCGTTTTGCGTTTTCCCCTTTATGAATGAACGTGTATCTATAACTTTTGGTGTAAATAGGGATTTCATCTTTAGTTCTGATATGGTGTTTAATTTTATTCGTGAAAAAACGTATGCTGATGGATTTTACATTGAAGGTGCACACAAATTTTCTAAATTAGCCCGCTCTTCCGCGTTAAGATGATCGGTACGCAAGCGCGATAGAACATCATTGGTTCGCGAGTATGGTTGTCCGGTGCGCATGCACTCGTTATTATATATTTCGGCCGTGACATGTCGATCCAGGGAAAATATAATGTCGTGAGGCGATGGATTTGAAATCTCTACTAAACCACAGTTCTTATTTACAGAAGTTAAACATTCACATATTACACAATTTGAAATTGTTTGCTTGGGAATATAGGTTAATAGGAAGTCAAACTAGTTTTGCAGTATTTTCTGGGATTAATTCTTCGTTCAAGTTAACATTGCGCGAGTTATACATTTGTATAATATTAGTCGCGTTGGAAGTAATAAGGACCTTATTTTTAAGATCTACTTTTTACTTCCCATTTCTCTAATAAATCCAACCCGATCAAACCATCGAAATAGTTATGGAATTTATACATAAATAATTTAATATCGTTGCGGTCAGTGAAATCTGGGAAACAAGGTATATTAATAGAATAGTTTTCCCGTGTAGTCGCGTGTACATGGGCAACTTCGAATGGGTCATTAAGGGGTATATGAGGGTAATGATTTTGAACTACATCGGGGTTAATGAAAGACTGGTTTGCTCCAGTATCAATAAGAAGCTTCAGTAGGGGATTGGAGATTTGAATAAATGGAAGTTGTCTTTGCGTTTGGAGATTAACTTCTATTTTGGCTTTTTTGTAGGTTGTACTGATGGAAAATCCTGCGCGGGGTTATTGCAAATAGAGGGATAAGGTTGATTAAGTTCACAGTTGTTGTCGACTACGGATTCGCTTGGTAATCACTGTCATAAGTCGTAACATTGTAGTCATTATAGTCGGGATTCTCGGGATAATAATAGTAAGTTTCAGAGTCAGAGTTAAATTCAGGGTAGTAATTATAGTCATCATAACCAGAACACTCATTAAAATTTAGTTCACGGGATTTGAACCAGATTTCATCCAATTATGACCACTGTGGAAACTATTAGGTATTAATTTCTATTCAACAAATTTACTATTCAGCAAAGTTATCCAGGAAGGAGTCACTCCCTAAATGTGGAAGAACGCCTCGGTCACGATCCTGCACAAAAAAGGCGACAAGACCAAGCTTCAAAACTATCGCCCGATAAGCCTCCTTTCATAAATTTATAAGTTGTTTGCTCAGGTCATGTGCAATAGACTAACTCGCTCTCTGAACGAAAACCAGCCGCCTGAACAAGCAGGGTTCCGAAGTGGGTACTCAACCATGGACATTCACGCAGTCAAACAACTGATGGAGAGATACCGCGAATACGACCGACCCTTGTGTCTCGCCTACGTCGATTATGAGAAGGCTTTCGACAGTGTCGAACACGTACCGTGTTTCATTCTCTCCATCGCTGTGGCATTAACAAGCGATACGTGGATATCCTCCGGGACCTGTACAGGAACGCGACTATGCAAGTGCGCATGCATAAACCCTCAGGTCTCATCTCGATCAAACGTGGTGTCTGACAAGGAGACACCATCTCTCCCAAACTCTTCACAAATGTCCTGGAAGACGTAATGAAGACATTCAATTGGGATGAAATAGGTGTTAACGTCAATGTTCGCCGCATGTCGCATTTGCGTTCGCATTCCTCATAGCTGGGAACTCCGCTGATCGCCAGACTATGCTCCAAGATCTGCACGAGGCTTCACTAGCTATCGGCCAAGTCCAAAACCAAGATCATGTCCAACCGTCCGGACCCAAAACCCATCATCTTCATTGGGAACACCCAGCTAGATGTAGTTGACGAGTACATTTATCTTGGACACTGTTTATCTTTTGGTCGATCTTCCCAAGACAAGGAGATTGCAAGAAGTATTCAGTTGGGATGGGCCGGGATTGGAAAACTGGAAGACTTCTTTACATTCTAAAATCCGTCAAAGCCTGAAAACTAAAGTTTATGACCAATGCGTCCTGCTCATATTTACTTACGATACCGAGACATGGCCCCTCACAAAGGAAAACATGCACAAAATCAAAGTAGCACAAAGGGCAATGGAACGCACCATGCTTGGCGTTTCCCTCGTCGACCGTATACCCAACGTGGAGATACGATAGCGAACATGGGCCCTAGACGTCGGTATGCGGGAGCCTAAAATGGAGATGGGCAGAACACGTTGCTAGACGGGACGACGACGATGGACCAAGGCGGTTACTGACTGGTACCCGGTAGACGTCCTCGAGGCAGACCACCTGCTAGATGGTCGGACGATATCGACGGGGTGTCCGGAAGATTGTGAATGAGATTCGCATAGGACCGATTGAGTTGGCGTGCAAAAGAGTTAACGGGCTGAGATGACATCTTTTTTCTTATTGAAATTGTGTATATTTTTACGGGTATATAAAATATTTCAGTAAATGTACTGTAACGCCACAGTCATGACACCAGTCTCCTTAAACTTTTCTCTGGGAGAAACCCGAGAGCCTAAACGGTACACAGAACGAATCGCTTACACGGTAAAATTCCAGCTTCCTAACAAGAGTAATATGGTCAACGCAATCAAATGCGTTTGAGAGGTCACAGAAAACACCAATAGCGTTCTGGGACCTTTCCCAAAAACCAAAGATGTGTTTTAGTAACACTATACCCCCGCATCGCTAGTCGATCTACCACTATGAAAAATATGATTCCTACCGAAATAGGACAGTAATTGAGTCAGCATAACCTTTTCGAATATTTCACTTAAAGCTGATAACATTGAAATGGGCGTATAGTTACTAGGATCCACTTTCCTACCGCTTGTGAATAAGGGAATAACCTTAACCTTGTATTTCATTAAAACGGGAAAAACAAATTCGTCAACGCATCTATTGAAAGCAACAGCTAAATGTGGAGAAATTAGATCAATAACTGAGTATATAACTTTAGTTGACATGCCCCAGAGATCATCGGTTTTTTTAACATGTATTGATTTAAAAGCTTTTATGATGTCCTGTGGATTAACATGACGGAAATTAAATACACTGCTACGAACATTAGCATTTTCCTTTAGGAAATCAATAGCAAGAGAAGGGGAGGAATTTAATGTTCCTGTAGTGTTCACAGCAATTTCCGAAAAGAACGACTCAAAAGCTTGGGAAACCTCGTCTTTAGATTTTATAAGTTTGCCGTCTAATTCTAAAACTCTCTATCTCTATCGTGTTATTTAACCCATAGATATGATTTGACCCTGCCTGGCTCTTTATTTATTCTGCTCCAAGACTTACATATTTGTAAGTCAATGATCGATTGTCTAATTTGTGAAACTTAACTTACTAGATTGCAGTTGTAGTAGGAGGTCGACTATTCGCAGCCGTATATCTAATAAAGTCGTATCTGTATCCAGAAAGTCGATCAGCTGAAAATCTCACCAGCCCAGACCAGCCCCATATTTTTCTACGTTGGTTTTGATTACCCTCCCTACCGACTCTGAGGGTATACAAGAAAGGCACTATAACCTGTGCGCGCACAGGAACCTTATAAGTTCAGGTTCTGATTCCAGATCAGCCAGATTAAAGGGTTGTCACAGACCTCTGTCACTTGACTTCATCCGGTTCTTCGAGAGGCTAGTGCTTCGGGTGAGCCACCGCGGGTGCACGTACAGTACCCTCCCTATTTTCCAGGTAGGTACCAGAACTATAGGCACGCTCACTTCCCGTTGCGCATTGCACAACTAGCTGTTGCCACCGTAAAGCCGTAGACTCTGAGTCCACTACCAAATCTGCTCATTGGTGGCGGAGCTGTAAGGCACGCTCACTTCCCGACGCCGAAAAATGACGTCTCTCCAGTTCCCAATAACCTAAGCGGCTCGAGGAATCGGAGGATATCTAGCTTAACCTCTACTAGCTCTCCGGGCTAGTGCCGGAGACGCCAGTTGCAGTGTCCTACGACAATGTCCGGACATAACTTCCAACTTAAAGGGCAACTCATGTGCACCAAGCGTCTCCTCGCTTCAGGCCCTTAATTAGACCACTATTAAGACGCGCTAGCTGCAGCAACTAGGACAGACAAACATGTCCGTCTCTGCAGCTTACCACAAACCCCATCGCGTCCATACCCAAGTCCGGGCCCACCAGAGACGGGCGTATCACTGGCGGAGGAACCTGCCCAGACTTTTCAGAGGGTTCCGAATTCTCCACAGTCACTACTGTCATCCAGTCTTGGCTGATCTTCTAACAGTACCCGTTTAAGTACCCGTGATGCTCACCAAAGTCGTGGTCGATCATCATCTATTCGAAGTCATACTTCTGTTCGGGAACGGTCACGATCGCGAAGTCGTTCGGCTGACGCACCGTCATTACATAGATCAAGGAAGTGGAGGCAAAAGTCATATGATGATAGGGATTAATTTTGTGGTAGGCACCAATCTCGCCCTACCACTGGAACTTGCCGCATACCCTTTGATTATTTTCTTCAGTATTTTGACGACGAATCGATGAAAAAGATCTCGATTAGTTGGCATTTTGCGTCAATTAATAATTCATTATCAGTTCATATTTTGTTATACTTCATGTGAAACGTGATAAACTTCAAGTTTCATTAATATAGTTGATTTTGTTGCTTTATAGGTCGCCTTTTATTCAAAATTTTTATTAAGTCATAAAAAAAACGCTAACGCTTTTGTAAGGTTCATGACGGGATGCCGTGATCGTGCGGGGGGGATTTTTGCAAGGGTTTTGGGAGAGATTTTTTTTTATTTTTTCTTTTTACTAACGGCATAAATGCTTAAAAAAATGCAACATCGAATCTAATCACAAAAAATAATTTCCTCGTGCTGAAAGGACTATTCTTCTATAACAACGTCCTTAGTATTAAAAGATAGCAAACTACGTCTCAGGTACCCTATGGGTAAAAGTAAATTATACTCAAAAAGTTTGAAGTTCCTTACGAATTCAGTAATGTCAAAACAAAATATAACGTCACTATGACGGCCTCAGTGGTCGAGTGGTTTGCACACC